GGGAGGGGAGGGGGAACCAAAATCCCAAAGTAGCCAAAATATCAGTTTGTACCGGAGACGAAGATCTGAGATATAAAGAGGACCTGTCACCAGAGGTATCATCTGTCATGTTTCATTCATACATCCGGAGTCATGTGACCTCTCCACAAAGATCACATGACTCCCCCTGACAATGCCTTCATCTGCTTTTCTCTCCAGAAGAAAACACATCTTTGTTAAGGCATCACATCCAGGGTCCCCATCTACTCCTGGACTCCTGACACAATCATGTAAATCCCGGTCCCTGTGCAGTTCTGGGCTGTGCTCACAAATGCCTGACACAGATCATCCCCCTGCTGCAGCCTCTCACCTTGTGACTGCATACTAATCAGTAGGGGAGACTGAGGAAATGCTTCCTCCTGCCTGCAGCAGACTGATCACTGGGGGAGGGGAGACCGAGGAAATGCTTCCTCCTGCCTGCAGAAGGCTGATCACTGGGGGAGGGGAGACTGAGAAAATGCTTCTTCCTGCCTGCAGCAGACTGATCACTGGGGGGAGGGGAGACTTAGGAGATGCTTCCTCCTGCCTGCAGCAGACTGATGACATCATCACAGCCTAGGCATTTCATGTTGTCTGATTGGTGTCGGCGCTCCTTGCAGTGGCTGCGATCATGTGATCTGTGACATCATCACTGACCAGGCGCTATGACTACGGAAGGGTCAGCTGACTCCTCTGGCAGACGTTCAGATATTTCACAATTTTGTAGATAATTTGCAGATTGGCGCCGGCGGAGAGACTCGTTCCCGATGGAAGACGCCGAGCACGTCGCGGGATGTGCAGCCAATTCGGGGGATTGACACAAATGGGTGTTGACCTCTGACCTCTGTGTATGTGGGGCGTTCTCGTTATTCTTGTCCCTGACTTGGGGCTCGTTCAGTGCGGGCGCAAAGACCAAACCGGCTGCTGTGATAAGATACCCTAGGGGGCCCACAACCCTGCACAGGGCCCCTCTTGTACGATGACCTCTGGGGGCCACAAATGTAAGATTAGGGTTAGCCCCCCCATGTGATAGGCAGGGCCCTTCTTGTGTGGCACTAGCAAGGGTCCCCAGATTTGTACAGGGGACTGACGGGGCCCATGTCATGTGATGCCCCTCCCCCCTGGTCGCCCCCCCCCC